TATCCTCTTCAAAACACCACCCTATTCCAGAAACTTTCCGCCGAGTATTTGCACTTGTTCATGGGTTGTCGTTCTTGCGCATTAAGTGTCCCGCCCACATTATCTTCGACAGCTTGATAGATGGAATGGAGTCTTTGATTTCGATCGTTGGTGTCGATCGGACCTTCATTTTTCACGGCAGCGTATGATGTGAATCACAACTGCAACGATACTGATACCATAGCAAAACTTGGACCTAGGGCCAGAGCGAACCACGATTTCCTTCTCCGAGGGCTCACGCATTACACACTGCACCACTGACGCTTTTAGTTTGCGTTTCTCTCAGCTAGTTTTTTACCTAAGTTATTTCTTACTATTTTATTACTCCTTATCATTTTATTCCACCTCTAGTTATTTTTTAACTAAAAAGTGACCGTCCAACTTATCCTGTCCCATACGTATATATTAAGACACGTAAGCTTATCTACTGACGACACTGCGCCCACCGGTCTGTCATCATTTAAGGACAGACCAATCATCAGTTATATAGGCTGGCTAATGGGCAGAATAACATGGTTCATAAACCTTATCCTGACCCACTTGCTGAAACTCATATTAACCCATCTACTTAATACCAACTCCAAAGTATTTCTAGGTCACCTTCGGTGGGAGCAACTAGGCAGCACGCATGTAATAGACTAATTCTATGTTACTTCGCTTTATACTAGTGTGTCACATGACGCCGCAATGCAGGACATTTAAGAACTGCTTCTAGAACATGAAAGCAAACTAAATGTGTATAGCTTGTCCATTCAACGACTGACGATCTTCTTAGGGCAGTGTCTTATTTGTTTAATTTTTAGGTGGTCGCCAAGAAGTATTTTACACAAATTACAGCGTTTGCCATGGGACAGCGATTAGCATCAAGCGTTGCGTATTCTCTCCGAAGCACCAAGCAATTCAAAGAACTTTTTGTCCAGTATTTGACGAATGCACTAGAATCTTAGAACTGCAGCATTGATCGACTTGTTTTGCTGAACGTTGAGTTCCAATCGGATCAGTCAATGAACCAAGCGTATGAGATGTTCAGTGGAATGTTAGAGTCAGTGCTCGGTACAGAATAATTACTAGCTCGAAGTAGAATGATCGACTTTGTACGAATTTTCCACTCTGGTCTTTTTGATGATTACGCCATGCACAATCTCAACCTTCGGTTACAATAATTTATAACAATAACGACAATGCAATATTAACAATCTGACAATATCTGGTTTAGTGATCGAGCTGAGAAAAGTTGAGTGGAGCTCGAGCGAAGTATCAGCGGAGCACTAATTGGATCACTAATGGTGCTCCTTGTATTCCTTCCGTAATGCGGGAATTTTAACAGAAGAAAGTAGAGGAAGCGCACAGAGGTAGATTCTAGAATACCAATAAGTTAGTACCATCTGATAGAGCTGCTTGCACAGAATGTTGGTGAAGGCTATACACTAGCTTACACAGAAAATACACATGACAGCTATGCACAAGCTTATACAAAAAGTCAATTAGGGCGGCAAATGACGGAGCGTGCCTGCAGCTGGCAGATTCTCCTTCGGTGCACGAATTCCCGAACAGAGAAGAACAACTCTTGCAAAGCATTTACAGAACCCCTTCCCTGTCAGCTGCTAGACAGGTGCATGAGATGGTCACTAGGAAACAGTTTGAGAAAAATGCAGGGACAAATGTGGGAAAATTACTAGTAAACAATTAACATAGGAAACATACGATTATATGGAAAATGGAAACTATTCGATAATAATTTTAACTTATTATTTTCTGCCTACTCTTTTTTAATGGCAGGGTATATTGCGAAATATAACATCAATTATGCTGAGATATTTGCAAAACTCCGGGCCATCAAATTTGATTATAACTACAGCCTCAGCTTAACTGGGTTCGTTGCCGATTTGGGTCGCCCAGATCAATCCCGCTGATAGGTGATTGCTGTGGCAAAGATCAAAAGAACTAGATGAGAGACAGGCGAAACGAAGGACCTGCATGGTGTGGTGGTGAACGCGTTACTCCCCGGAAAGGACCATAGCGCGTTCGTTCTCCGCCACAGAGGACCAGCGGTCCATAGTTTTGCAAATAACTCGGTGTCATTAAAGTTATTCGGGCAATAGTTACTATATGGTCCGTTTCACTGGATTCGATTCAATGAGAGAACGTACACCCACGTCGCTACCGAGACCATCTGTGGGCCATCGACTCGGATCAATTAAGCTCTGAAGAAAACAAAATTAAAAGAAAGAAACCTGCTAATGGTGGTGTAGATGTACCACTAGTGTAGATATAACAACGAGGTCAGAAGGTGAGCTAGAAGATGGAGGCTCAGGTCGGAGAACAATGTGTTCTATCTATGTGATCCAACGTTTGACGTTACGATGTATGAAAATCATCCGGAATGGGCGCGAAAGCAAAATTACATGTGTTAAAGGAATCTAATATCTGGGATAAATGATCCATAGAACAAGACAAAAATGTCGCTCCGAGTGCTCATGAACTGTTTTCGGGATATATGTTCAAAAAATAGAGGCAGAGAGAGCTGCACAGAAAGAAAAAAATTACCTAACGATGTGTAATTGAGAGCGCTGGATTGCTATTTAGTTGATGACCATCCAAACTGTGGATTTCTTTTCATGATTTTAACACTAGTCATTAGTTTCTTTGCACGAATCGACACCATATGCTACGCGCTTTTCAGTATTCTTACACTCGATTCATTTCCTCAAATCCTTCGTTCACGACGGCCTTCAGATCTCACTTGCGAGTTCAATTATTGTTGAAAAATTTTGTACATCTTCAAGAATGTCGTTGAATGCTGCTAGAGTCGATTCTCCCTAGGTGCCTGAGAAATCAGTGCTAGGGCACTCCCGTATGGATTGGAAAGAGCAAGATGGTCTGGTCTTCGATCCAACTCTACTATTGACCTATCGATCGGGTACAACAATGCGTAAACATGCTCGAAAGAAATGTGGCAAAGAGAGAGAACTGGAAAAGAAATGCTTAAGGTATAATGCAATTTGTCCACTTTGGTGGCGCTCACACAGGCATTGCACATAATGCATCTCCAACGTCATGTTTCACAAGGGTTGAATCACCAGTAGTACAAATTTTTCCTCGGATAAAGCACGCTAATGAGCTATTTCTACCTACTATTTGCGGTAAGATAGTTATGCTTGAACGGCGCTTGTAGCGTAATGATCAGGGATCACTGCAATCCATATGGGATCGCAATCAACGCCCCCAGGCTCATCAAACCTTTCATTTTCCAGGGTCGGTAAATTGGTACCAGACTTGTCTGGGACGATACCAGCACTGGCTCGATACATCGGTAGGCCACGGCGAGTCATTCTACAGGTCAAATGTGCATTCAATCATTCCCAAGCTCTCACGTATTGATAAACGCTTTGTCCTTTTATCCTTTTAATCAGGAGTACACCAAGCTGGGGAATTCTAAAGAGTCTGCAAGAGAAGAGTGTCCGAAAGTTTAAAGCTTAACTGCATAGTACAGACTACGAAAGGGCCAGTTCCTTTTGCTGGCATCGCGCAGCAACTGGTGTTTCGTAAGGTCGTACAGTTATGTTAGACGGCGGATTATTAAACGGAAATGAGGAACCAAGTTAGGCTTTGCTTAACAAATAAGTATCTAGTATCTCAAGGTTGACCGGGTTATGGCAGAACGTGTGAAAGCGCCCATAAGTTTACGTTTTAACTCTATTAGACTCAACGATCTATCCGATGACTACGGATTCGGAGACGACCTTGATCTGTCTGTTGTTGACGATGATGTTGTGGTCGAGGAAGCATTAGAAGCCAACAATCTACAAATTGCCGCCGGTGCAAATCAAATGTGACTCATCTGTTCAGGGGCAAAGTAGCCGCCATGAAATCATAAGACTTACTTCCTTACTGGCTATTTATTTTTGCCCAGAAGAGCTTTTTTGAACACTTTGTACTCATTCGATGGCCTTTCCCACAAAGATGTTTTAGTGGAAGTCAATTAAATAAAGCTGTATTCTACAAAAAAAAAGAAAAAAAATAACAAATAAGTGTTATTTGCTAAGTTTATGAAGAACGTGAAAACTAACTTATACTTGAGCTCAGTAACTAGTCGTTAGTATACGTATTTGAAACTCTGGGAGCGTGTTGCGCAGAGGCAGAGGTGGTAGAGGTACCGCGCAATGCACACACGATCGCAGATTTGCATAAGAAACTTTTTCAGATTTTATGACATTCCACATCTGATATTTTGCAGATCTTTGAAAACCAATGTCATCATCATATACAAATATAGTAGTTCATTTAATCTCTGAAAGGTGAGCAAATGGACACTTACTATATCACGTAGAAATACACCTCATACTCACGTAGTCTATTAACCGGCAGAAGTGCCTTGCCCGCGCTGCTTTCGCGACCTCCGGCACTCCTACCTCCACATGCAGCATAAATATACTCTGCTTTCCGTTTCAGCTGCTAGCAGTCTAAACAGAAGACACCACATTCAAATTGCAACAATTCGTGGATTCCTGTCGGTTTGAAATATGTGAATTCTCTGCTAAAGTGATATTTGCATGGTATATGGACATTCGTTATAAACCACGTTGCGAAAAAATACTCAAGTAAAGACGACAAGTTAATCAACAAGGCAATATTGAAATAAGAAGTAAGGTACATCAATGGAATTGCATGAGGGTCTTATGCCTTTAAGTCCACTTGGAATTCTTGATGGAAGGTCTTTCAAAATGGCCCACAAGTTTTCGTAATGCTGATTTTGAAGGGCCCAAACACATTCAGCTCTACAGTGAAAAGAATGCCATGATCAGTGGAAGAGTGACGATGAGAGCTATGACTCCTGGCTCTAGCACTTGTGGCTCCATCACCATACCGAAGAATTTAAATAAGTTGTGATTGCCTCAAATAAAGTAGAGCTCACACTTTTACTCCTCCTGACTGAGAAACACGGTGATGCATCCACCATTTCTTTGCACTTGATGCACTTTGTGCTTTTGCTTGTGTCCGTGATTCTCGTCGTTCAATGCTGGCAAACAACCCTTGTGAACCATCTTTTGCTTCTCTTCATAGACTTTTGTTACATTGCCCACTTTTTCTAGTGCAGTGTTTTCCATTCTGTAATGGTTTTCAGTTCAGAACAAATACTGAATTGAAGTGGTTATAAATGGAACCACATACCTGATTGTTTTCAAAACGAGTTGTTAACTGATGGGCTAGTAAGCCAACACCGTCAATTCGCTAAGGCAGCAAACGAGTGAATGCGCCATAGAACACCGTGTGTTATCATGAAGAATAACGCCCTCTGTATCGGGTCAAGGAAAGCAGGTAATCCTGTCAATAATCTCAGAACATTTGCCAACACGGCTTAACGCGTCGCCATCAACCCTGTCGACGTCATTTTGACATTTGTAAACAAGTTATTAATGAAAGTTAAAGATAATCAGATCGATTGATACACACCGACCTTGTTACCTAATTGATTGGTGTGCGATGACCAGGAATTATTGAGTGGCCGAATGCCGCTGGTAATCGGCTTTCACGCTTTGATTTTGGCACGTTCCTAAAAAAAACAAATAGACAAGAAGGTTAACCAGAATGTGATTCTTCCCGGTCAAATTTGAAGGATCCACTCCAAAAATGTCTGCGATTCACAAGATACGCAGTAATTTCTTGTGCAACTGCAACTCATTAGACCCACATCACTATTTATTCAATAGCGCCTTGATCTTGATCACATTTGCCCAGAACGGCTTCCAAAATAGGAATTTTGGTGTACTAGAATGAAAACATGGTGCTACGTAACTCAAGAAATCGACTTTTTGTAATCCACAGCAGAAATAGTCAATATATCCAGTATTAATAAAGATCTAAAACATAAATAAACGCCATACTGATTAAAAACTACTCACCGTGGTGTTCCGAGTGGAACGGTCGGCACGTTGTCCACGTGGGATGACGAGCGAGACCCACCCATATCGGAAATTCAATTTCAAATGAAGCGGTAGTTCATATGTGATAGTGAGGCGTTGGCCTTCCCGGTTCATATTTGGATTTTTGAAAGTTATGCAAAACGCCTCAAGAGTCGTGCACGTTGATATTTTCGATTCTTGTGTAGGACCCGGACCATCACTTCAAAATCATCATCATTGCGCCTTTTGTCCTACTATCCACCTAAATGAGTACTTTGTAGATCCTGAACTTTCTCATCGAGGTTTTCTTCTAAGCAGACACATAGTGGTCTACTGGTTTCCTCAATCTATTAGTCACCGCATGATTTACATGCGAACAAGTAAATTGTACCTGAACTCATGCAATCCTCGTCTCTTCCGTTAGGACAGATCATACAATTCTCTGAGCAGTGACTTCGCTTGAATTGAATGGTCGCTTAAAAGGAATCTTAGTTAGACTTGAAATAGCAAACCAAATATATTTGGGAACAACCATAGCCTTTGGTCTGACCCGAGTGGCTTCTGCTTCGTTTCCATTGGAAATGAATGCTTTTCGTGCCAGGTTTAGCAATTCCTTGTTTCCACTTCTGCTGTGCCCACATTTTTAGCCGTTCGGTACATGTTTTTGATGAGCGCTTCTTTCATGTGTGAAAAATGAGTGGAGAAGTAGGGCACTGGTATATTTTTGCTGCTTAGTTTTTGACACCATTTTTTACGTAGCCATTTTCTGGGAATTTTTTTGGATGCTTAAGAATGGAAGCCAGTTATCGGTTGCTTTTTTGCATAAACTTTGTACACACCTGCTTTCTATTTAACATTTCACAGCATTCGTCTATCTGTTCTTGTGTGGAACAGACGATGAAGTAGTGGCCTATGTATCGACATTAGATTAAGCATCCGCGATCAAAAACTAAGGCTTCAACTTTAGACATGAAACCTATGGCAAGGCTAGAGCTAGTCGCTTTCCTAAGGCCAACCCTGTAATTTGTGCAAAGCACTTTCCCGGTCACCTAAAGATTAACCAACTAAGATGCTGTTTTAGGAAGGTCCTGTTGAGTCAAAAGCCATACTATTTTATTTTCTTTTCATTTTCTACGGGTAGCTCGAGTGTGGCTTGCATTACGGAGTCCTTCGACACCTTAGTATAAACTGATGTAACATCGAATGACTCCATCAAACCGTAGGCGATCTGGGAATATTTTGCTATCTTGCAGACATGTTGGTATGAATTTTTTGCAGCTGGATAGGGATAAGGTTTAGGAAGTGTGTTATTCTATCCGTTGGTCCACCTATACAACTGATATTTAACTTCTATATGGTGTGGTGGTGTACGCGTTACTCCCCGGAAAAGGCAATAGCGCGTTCGTTCCCCACCGCAGACACCTGCGGTCCGGAGTTTTGCAAATATCTCGGCATTATAGAAGTTGTGTTTCGCAAAATATCCTGCCATTAAAAAGAATAGGCAGTAAATAAAAAGGTTAAGATTATACAACCGATAATTGGCTCACTCTTAAATGACGACTGGTTGGTGAAGGTAATATCATCAGTGGAAATAAGGCTACGTGTCTTAATAAGCAAATGTAGGACAGGATAAACCGGATAGTCACTTTTTTATCTGGGAAATAGCTGAATGTTCTATACCCGGTTCCTTTACCGTGTTGACCCACTTCCTAATCGTTTTCCGGGGATGATTTCTATATTCCTTTTCAGAAGATGGTCTAATTTATTTCAAGGGAAGCCCATGGTAAACGAAAAAATTCACCGAACACTGAGTAGCGTTTGGTTGTTTACTCATCAGAATGAACTTAAACGACAGCTTTAAACCAATGAGCGAATGGTGATCGAAACAACATCGCGAATGCAATTAAAACGGGACATGTCAGATCGATGGCCCACTCCTCTCCATCGTTCTTTCTGTCCTTGAGGTTATCGTCTGCTAAAATAGCTCCGCAGAAGCAAGGACACTGCTTAACGTGTTTAACGAGGGAGCTAAAATGAAATAACTATGGGTCAATAAAAAAAAACAGAATTCATGAAGAACGTGTTGACTCATTAGAAGGGACAGCTCTTTCACCTTTGTGTAATGCAACAGAAACATAAGCTGCTATGTCAGCGACATCGAAGATGTTGCGTACAACACACAAACAAACTTGACCTACGCCTTCAACAGATTAACCGAAATTTCGAGAGGCTGAAAAGATGTATCAACGGGTTCTTAACACGCTTAAAATAACAATGTTCATGGAAGAAATCAACTTTTAGATCCATCAATGGCAGCCGAATCCGCAATTAATGCGACCACGTTTTCACCATGAGACAAGCAACGTGAGTGGAGGAAGGCCTGGAAACCGCATGACGGTTGCAACATTTCTGTCGTTCACGCAATCCGAACACCTGCTACAAGTATTTTCGACAGCAACTTTGAGAAAACTGATCACAGTGCTCGCCTAATTAAATGGAGTTCAAATTTTCTGAGATACGGTTACAGTAGCAAGAGCCGTTGGATAAAAGATGACCGTGGGACTCAATGTTTCGTACCTTCGTCAATATTTTCGTCGATGATTTCGTAAGATCTTCAAGACACTGGTTTCACACTGCTCTGTTCTGGAAAACGGTACGTTGAAGTTTTCATTTTCCTCTATTTGACTGAAGTAATTGGAGATAATTCTTTCTGTGGATGCAAAGGGGTACCAGATATCAATCCATTTCTTATGAATATTATTTCCCCTGACTTCGGAGTTATATAAATCGTTTCACTAATATAAAATGAAAGTTACGAGAATTATGTCTTCAGCGAATTGAAGTAGTATCACCAACATTCGCCGAACTACCCGTATAGCGGAAATCGGAGCTGCTCGTGAATGGCACTCTCCATTCACCGTGTTCATTCACTTTCAAAAACGAACACAAAACTCATTGTGGATCATATAATCTGTGGACTTTTGATGGTGCAGTTGCTTATATCAGCAACTCCATCGGCTGACAGGAATGCTAACTACGCTCATTGATTTATCGTCGAGTATTCCGCGATGTCCTCTATTAACTCTATGTCTTCTTCTCATAATGACTCGAATGAGTTCATGTTTAATCTTCTCGACTTGCATCGAGCAGCCCTTAGTGGAACCTTCTGGCAAAAGCTTGCCCATATTTCAAGTACAAGTCGTTACTACAGCAAGTTTAACCTTGGAAATCTGAAATACTTTTCAAATTTTGGCACAAACTCTGGTTTTAAACCAATAACTGCATTCGCGCGTATAGAAAATACTGTAGACCGTAAACTGTAATACTGTAGACTGTAATACTGTGTAAAATAACTGTCTTCTTGGCGAAGTTTTGCTTCTGCTACGCGTCATTGATTCTGTTCAAAAAGGATGAAGCTGTCGGCATTGATCGATCCCCGAGGGATGCGCCGTGCATTCGACTTCATAAGCATCGTTGAAGGTGACTGAGTGGAGATCTGACCTTAATAATGACTCGCGATGGCCTACCTATGTATCGAATTAGTACTGCTATCCTTCCAGACAAGTCTGGTACCAATTTGCCGAGCCCCGAGGATTGGAAGGTTTACTGAACCTGAGGCGCATGGATCAATCGGATGTGGATTGTAAGGCCCACTGATCACTGCGCTGCACGCGCTCCTCATGCATAATTAGCCCAGCGTAATTGCTTGTATAGGTAAGATATGTATTAATCACCTGTGTGGTGCTCAGGGAAGTCGAAAACGTAGCGCATCCCGAGGGATCAGCATCCAACATTTGTCATCCTTTACCTGAATTATGAACGTCAACGCGGTATAATACGCGAAAATAAAAGACGAGATTGGCACTGTTGAGTGATGAACCAATCAAGGTACTCGTTCGTCCCAATTTTTCTAGGTGGCTCTGTAATTTTTCTTAAATTGAGTCTCAGAGTCCCTTTTCAAACAAGTGATTTGGTATCGAGAAATGAGATTCTTGACTTTTTTGTAAGAGGATCCCATAATTTAGAGTTGTGGAGCTTTCTACTGCAATGATAACACTTCTCTTGGTTTCACAAAAATTTCTGGATTTCTAAAGACCAGCAATCACTTTCTTTCGAGTCCCGATATCCCATTTTCAGTATTCCATTGCTTTTCCAAAGGTCCTTTTAAGTGTTTCATTTATCCTTATCTCAATTTCACTCGTGCCCGTTCAGTCAACTAACCATATCAGATTATGTATATTGTGTTGCTGTTATTGCTATAAACAGTTATAACATAAGCTCGAGTTTGCCCTCTGCGCCTACTTCAAAATGTCCCGCGTGACAAACTCGTACGAAGTCGAGCATCCTAGTTCAAGTTAGAAATTACTCTGTGCCGAAGACTGACTAGAAGTCTCATATTCCATTGCAATAGCTAATATATTTGAGAGGACACAAGCGAGATCAAGCTCTCTCACTAGTGCACTGGGTTCGCATAACCGGCAGGAGGAGCAGGATTAGTATCACACTTTTAGTGCGACAACTTTCTTTAAACTATTTCTGCCTCCCTCGGATCTCCTTCATATGAGGGACCTCGAGCCGGCTAGTAGCGAGGCTACGTGGCGCGTCCCTAGGTGGTGGGGCGGATAGGGGGTTAATCGCGGTCCAAAAGCGTCTTTTGCTTCCTTGAGACACAGGTCGATCGAGAGGATGGACTCTGTTTCTGCTGCGCTGATTTAGCACATACTAGGCTCATTCATGCATGTGTGTGTGGGTGCGTTCATGCTTATGCGGATTGTATTCTACGAGTCAATTCGCCGAAAGGCCTGGAATCAAGTGAATGGAAAGTATATGGGAGGCGGTTAGGAGTCGCATCCAACAAATAACCTCCATGTCCTCTCTGGGAGAGCCTGGCAAGTTACCTGTAAGTATACCCAGCCCCCGCGTTTAGAGCACAGCAAGCTATAAGTGGGTATAAAAAATTCTAAACACAGTAAGGAGAACGGGCCTCATTCCCCTGACACCGGAAGTGCCCCAATTTCGCAGCGTTGGCTAGGACGAGTACGGAGAGGCTGCTAAAATTTCAGGGCCAATGGAAGCTGCCTCGAGCAACCGCGAACTAACGTCCGAGCTTGCAAAACTATGCAGACAGGCGATAAAAAAAGATTTGAGGGAGAGAGTAATTGCCGAAGCTGCAGAGGCTGGGAAAAGCATTTGCAAAGCTTGCACTCCGGCGCCCAGACAGAACAGTTACAGCGTCCAGAAAGGCAACGGAGAAAATCATTCACGAATACTACTCAGATTTCTTCGATAGCCACGTCCACCTTCGATCATATGAAATAAAGAAGGACCATCGATTCTCCCTTCCGAAGTCCGACATGCCATTTCGTCAGTGAAAAATCGAACAGCACCAGGTCCGGACAGGATAAGACCAGATCACTTAAAGAACCTTCCGCCAGTCCTCGTAAACACACTTGCTCGGCTCTTCACACGTTACCTGTCTGAATGCAAGGTCCCTACTCAAAAAAACCAGCATGGCCGTGCTAATGTTTAAAAAGAGTGACCTGCACGATATCGGCAACTATCGCCCAATCCGCTTACTGTCTATCGTCTACAAACTTTTCACGCGAGTCATCCTAAACAGGATTGACAGAACACTAGATGAAGAACAGTGTGAGCACTCAGGGTTTCGAAGAGGATTTTGTACGATGGACCACATCCACACGGTAACACGGCTCATTGATGTATCGCGAGAGTACAAAAGACCGCTCTGTCTCACATTCATCGATTTACAGGAATCCTTTGACTCAGTTGAGATGGAAGCAGTCTGGGTAGCCCTTGATAGTCAAGGAGTCCTTACTCAGTACATAAAGATTCTTCGTGAGCTGTACAAAAATTTCACAACCAAGATATCATCATCCTACAATGATATTAACACTGACGTCAAAAGAGGAGTTAGGTAAGGAGATACCATCTCGCCAAAATTATTTACCGCCACCCTCTAGAGCGTCATGCGAACATTGGAATGGGATAATACGGGAGTGAAAATCGACGGTCGCCAGTTACACCATCGTCGCTTTGCTGATGACATCGTCCTTACAACACCAAACATCAGCCAAGCGGAACGTTTGCTTGACGACTTTGATAAAGCCTGTGGAAAGATTGGTCTTCGACTAAATCGCACAAAAACGATGTTCATAAAGGACGGATTGGTTTCGCATGACCCATTCACGTTCAACGGAACGAATATCTCTGAATACACCAGTTATGTCTATCTAGGTCGAGAAATCAATGTTATGAACGACCTTGCTCCAGAGCTGAACAGAAGAAAACGAGCGGCTTGAGGAGCTTCCAAGAGCACCGAGAATGTAGTGAAGAGAACAAAGAACACCCGACTCCGTCCCACCTGTTCGACTGAACGGTACTTCCTATCCTAACGTATGCGTCAGAAACCCGGTCGCTGCGTAAGCAGCATGAAAGATCATGAAGCGTTATTGAACGCGCAGTCGAAAGGACGATGCTAGGAGTATCCCGTTCCAGACAAGTAAGGGATGAGATCGGAAGCTCCGATCTGCGTCAACGATCAAAAATCAAAGATGCCGTTCTGTACGCCAAACAGTCGAAGATAAGGTGCGCCAGACACGTTATGCGTATGAATAACAACCGATGGACAAGAGCCGTTGGTAACTGGATTCCTCGGGATGACAAACGTACTGCAGGAAGACCACCGACCCGATGGTCAGTGTTCTTCACAGAGAGCCTAGAAGAAAGATATGATGCTCGACGATTCCCTAGAGCGAGCAGAATCCACTGGGCTACTCTTGCACGCGCTAGGGAAAAATGGAAGATTTAATGGCGCCCGCTCGAGTCACTTGACGATCAACGGGACTACAGGTGATACAGGTGATTTTTGCCGAGAAAGTAACGAAAGAAAGCTCTCAGCACTTCGCCATCGCATTGCTTTCTTTTTACATGAGGCTCCGGATGGGACTGTCGAACTGTTTTTCATGTAGCACCTAAGGAATAAGCCTTCGCTTTACATCTCTACCCAGTGAGGCACCTAACCGTGATAAAGAAATAAGCCATTAAAATGTACTCCATAGAAATTCGACCTTCAGTAATCCTAATCCTGCCATTTATTTCCGCGTATTACACCGTTGTCATGTTCATGGTTCAGGTGGAGGATGAGAGACGTTGGATACCGATATCTCTCGATGTGTTACGTTTTCGACTCCACCAAGCATAGCAGAGGTGATTTAATGCGACAAGCTAATTTTGCATGAGGAGTGCACGAAGCGCGGTGATCAGTGGTGCCCCGCAATCCACACGGGATCAACCAACGCGCCCCAGGCACATCGAACCTTCCATTTCTCCGGGGTCGGTAAATTGGTACCAGACTTGTGCCAGAGGATAGCAGTATTGGCTCCATACAGCGGCAGGTTACCGCGAGTCATTGTAAAGCCAAAATCTGAATTAAATCACTTCCAACGATCCCTAAGGAATTCGAATGTATGGCACATTACACACGGATCGATCAAAGCCGAGAACTTTCTTTATTACCAATGCATAAAGACTATGCTACTATATTACTAGAGAAGTTTGGTACCAATTTGCCGAGCTCAGAAAGGTTTGGTTTTCCTGGTACACATAGTGCAGCCCATGAGCAAGTGTGCATTGCAGCGCGTCCCTAATCACTTTGTGAAGAGTACTTGGTAATTTACGTAGCATTATATCTATGCATGGTCTTACAAACTGTATGGTCATCGTTACGATATCGTGCGGTCAACACGAACTTCAAGACCAGCTGCGTTTTAGGACTAGGCTAGAAAGACTGGGTAAGAAAATGCAAAGATCGACATTACCACTAATACCTTTTCCCGTAGCGTTCTTTAAGCAAGAACCACCAAGTAACAAAACTAACCCTGCCCTTCGCCTATTTTCGGACGTTCTTCACGTACTTAGCCATCACCAACATAGAAAACTACGTTCTAACCTCACACGTACTTTGCTTTGACTTGTTAAACAAACAGTTGGAGTATATAAAATTCACGAAAGAAAAAGTAACCGATAACTGGCTTCCATTCTTAAACATCCAAAAAAAAACTCTCAGAAAATGGCTACATAGCAAAGCGATTTCGAAAACCAAGCAGCAAAATATACCAGTGGACTACTTCTCCTCTCATCTTTCGCGCATTAAAAAAGCGCTCATCAAAAACATCTACTGAACAACTAAAAATTTGGTCACAGCGTGGCAAGAAAAATAGACATTGCCAATGGCAACCAAGCGGAGACCACACGGGTCAGACCAAAAGGAAGGATTGTTTCCAAGAATAATAATACTTCAAGCCTAAGTAAGATCCCTTAAGAAAAAGTGGTTCTGAAAGTGTCACGCTGTCAATTAGTCCAAAATCGAATCTTTGATCGTTTGCCCATCTCAGACAATTGCGTAATTTGTCCAAACGGGCGACGCGGAGTTGCATAAGTTCAGATACAATTTACTTGAACACTTGTAAAGGTGGGGAATACATTGGGGAAACGGGTAGACCACTTTGTATCCGCTTAAAAGAACATCTAGATAAGAAACTTGGAATTCTACGAAGTACTCTTCTAGCTAGGCATGGGACACTAAAACAAAATGGGGACGATTTTGATGTTACAGCCCGGATCCTAGCCCATGAATCAAAAACATCGACGCGCAAGACTCTTCAGGAGTTTTGGATAAATTTCAAAAGTCTAAATGTGAACCGGGAAGGCGAATGGCTCACTATCACACGTGACCTGGCCCCTTATTTCAAATCGATTTTCTGATCTGGGTTGGTTTCGCTCATCATGCCACGTGAACAATATGCCGGCTGTTCCACTTGCAACACCACGGTGAGTAGTTTATGTCCAATATGGCGTTTATTTATGTTTTAGATCTTCATTAATACTGGATATATTGTTTATTTATGGAGATATTTATGGAAAGGCGATCTTTTGAATTATGTAACACCATGTCTTCATCTTAGTACACCAAAATGCCTATATTCGGAAAGCCTTCTGGGCAAATGTGATCAAGATTAGGACGCTATTGAATAAGTAGTGATGTGGATTTAACGAGCTGTAGTTGCACGACAGATTATTGCGTATCTTGTGGAACGCTGATATTTTTGGAGTGGGCTCTTCAAATTAGCCTTGGGAAAAATCATATTCTAGCTAACCTTCTTGTCTATTTGTTTTTTCAGGAAGCTGCCAAAATCAAAGCGGGAAAGCTGATTATCAGCGGCATTCGGCCATTCGTTGTCTCTCGGCCATCGCACACCAATCAGTTAGAGAGGTAACAAGGGTGGTATGTATCAGTCGATTTGATTATCTTTAATTATTGTTGATAACTTGCTCACAAATGGCAAAATGGCGTCGGCAAAGTTGATGTCGACGCGTTAAACCGTGTTGGCCCAGGTTCTAAGATTACTGAAAGGACTATCTGCTTTCCTTGACCCGATACCGCGGATATCATTCTTTGTGATAATACACGATGTGCTCACTCATTCATTTGCTGTCTTAACAAATTGACGGTGTTGGCTTACTAGCCCATCAGTCAACAACTCGTTTTGAAAACGATCAGGTATGTGGTTCCATTTATAACCAGATCAATTCAGTATCTCTTCTAAACTGAAAACCATTACAGAATGGAAAACACTGCACCAGAAAATGTAGGGAATGTAACAAAAGTCTATGAAGAGAAGCAAAAGATGGTTCACAAGGATCGTTTGCCAGCATTGAACGGCGAGAATCATGGTGACGAGCAAAAGCACAAATTGCAACAAATGCAGAGAAATGGTGGATGCATCACCTTGTTTCTCAGCCAAGAGGAAGAAAGTGTCCGACAGGAATCTACGTATTGTTGTAATTTGAATACGATGTCTTCTATTTAGACTGCTACCTGCCGAGACGGAAAAGTACAGTAAGTCTATGCTGCATGTCAAGGTAGAAGTGCCGAAACTCGCAAAAGCAGCGCGGGCAAAGCACTTTTGCGAGCTAATAGATTACGTGAGTATGAGGTATAATTTTAAATGGTGCAGAAACTATTCATTAACTCACTTTTCAGGGATCGAAGAGACCAGATTATGTGTGCGTAGTGATGGCATTGCTTTTCATGGATCTACACGGTCTCAGATCTGAACTGTCAGAAAGATCTGGAAGGGTTTGTTATGGAATAAACTGATCCATTTGTGCCTAGAATTGGTCAAGGTCGAATGAAAATGGAATCAGCGAAGATGCAGCGCCTTCCCTAATATCAGTGAATACCTTATTTTTTTTAATAAGCCTTCACAAAGCTGCTAAAATATAACTTTGCGGCTAAAGTTCTGGCGCTTTTGTCTTCTTCAAGGCCACGATACCTTGAATCGAGTGCTCATAGTAGTTATTGCTTGCGATGAACGAGTCTTATTAGTTATGTCGGGTCGAATCGAGGGGAGCGGCACCGCATCAAAAGGCAGTGGAGCCGCAACGTTGACCGCCGCAACAATGCCTTGTGACAAAATTGTTTCAGGTTATCGGTTAGACATAAAGACTAAAGCCCAAAGCATTCAGCGTAGATCACTTACTTAGAGATACGCCGTGTATTCGACTTCACCGAACATCGTTAGAGATGACTGAATACATCTCTAGCCCATACATTAACTCATTGTGGCCTACCGTGCATCAAGTCAATACTGCTATCACCCACCTAAAAGCTAAAAGCCCTGGGCGCGAGTCTCGTATGTAATGTCAAGTTCCTCTATCGGCTGCGCAACACTCTCCACCTCTTTCAAATAGATATACTATCGATTATTTATTGAGCTCAAGTATAAGTTAATTTTCAAACAGTCAATAAATTTAACCAATAACACTTATTTATTCAGCAAAGTCTAACCTGTTTTTTTTATTTTACTTTAATGATCAACCGTTTAATATCACTGTTTTTAGTATGACCTTTTGAAACCCTAATCGCTGCGCGATACCAACAACAAGAACTGGCCTTTTCGCAACCTATAGTGTTAAGCTACAGTTAAGCTTATTGTCGGAGAGTTTTCTCCTGCTGGCTCTTTACCACTGCCCATTTTGGTGTACTTCTGGTTAAAAGAATGAAAGGGTAAAGCTCGGGGCGTTGATCTATTCGTGAGGGGTGCGCCATGCGTTCGAACTTGTTAAGCATCGTTGGAGGTGATTGGGTGCATATGTGGTCTTTACAATGACTCACGGTGGCCTACCGATGTATCGAGTCAGTGCTACTATCCTTCTAGATAAGTCTGGTACTAATTTACCAGCCCCTGAGAGAATTTTCCGTTTTTGAATTTGAGCAAATGGAAAGCTTGGTGATCGTGGGAGCGCAGCTCGATGACATGTGTATTCCATTGCGCCTTCGACCACTGCGCTACATGCGTACTCCTTGCTAGACTTGTAAAATGTCAATTTTTGAACTTCCATTTGGTCAAATTCAAAAACGGAAGAGCGTACTTCCTTCAGTGCTTTGCAGAATATTCACTGTTCTAAAGTATGAATAGTCCGGTAGTGTGTTTTACCCGACGAAAAATTTGTAGTACTAGTTGCTCAACCTTTTTAAAACTTGACGTGAGAGATGCATTGCGTGCAATGCATGTGTGAGTGACAACAAAGTGAACGTATTGCATCGTACCTTAAGCATTTCTTTTCCAGTTCTCTCTCTTTGCCACATTTCTTTCGAGCTTGTTTACGCATTGTTGTACCCGATCGATAGGCCATTAGTAGAGTTAGATCGGAGACCAGACCATCTTGCTCTTTCCACTCCATACGGAAGTGCTCTAGCACTGATTTCTCAGGCACCTAGGGAGAATCGACTCTAGCAGCATTGAACGACATTCTTGACGATGTCCAAATTTTTTCAACAATAATCGAACTCGCAAGTGAGATCTGAAGGCCGTCGTGGATGAAGGATTTGAGGACATGAATCGAATGTAAGAATACTGAGAAGCGCGTAGCACATGATGTCAACTCATGTAAAGAAATGAATGACTGATGTTAAAATCATGAAAAGAAATCCATAGTTTAGGTCGTCAGCAACTAAACAGATATCCAATGATCTCAATTCGACATCGTTAGGTACTTTGTTCTTTCTCTGCAACTCTCACTCTTACTGCCTTTATTTTTTGAACATATATCCCGAAAAGGCTTCATGAGAACTCGGAGAGATATTTTTGTCCGGTTCTATGATTCATTTATCCCAGATTTTAGATTCCTTTAACGCATGTAATTTTGCTTTTGCTCCCATTCCTGATGATTTCCATCCATCGTAACGACAAACGCTAAATCACATAGCATTGCTTTCCGCCTGTACCTCCATCTTCTAGCTCGTCTTCTGAGCTTGTTGTTGCATATACACCACTATTATCAGGTTTCTTTCTCTTAGTTCGGGCTTTTGTGCCCTAATGTCATCGTGTTCCTCACGAATATTTTATTCAGTCAAAATACCTTGCTAGAATATCGAGTTAACACATGGTTGATAAAAAAGATTTATTCGGGTAAAGTTTCTGCTACTTCTTTTTTTCCAGAGCCGAAGTGATCCAAGTCGATGGTCCGCACGTGGTCGTCGTAGCGACTTGGATGTTCGTTGTCGATTTCATCGAAGTGGACTATGTAGTAACTATTATCTGAATATTTTCTATTTTCTATGCTATAATACGTTTCCTGTACTAACTATTACTTGGTAACTATCGTACACTTATCCCGCAGTTTCTGCATATTGTTTATCAGCGGCTATCTTTTGCATCCCCCTCGCAGCTGAATAGAAAGGGATTCTGTAAGTTCTTTGTAAGAACTGTTCTTCTTTGTCCGACAGTTCGGACAGTAAACATGCAGCTGTCGGCTTCATTGATTTCCTAGTATTTGTCGTCCCAATCAACTTTCTGCACCATCGCTGTTACATGTATTTTCTGTATAACCTATTATATAAACTTCACAAACCTTCTTTGCAAGCAGCTCTATCCGATTATAGTAATCCACCAGCATTCTAGAATCTACCTTTGAGCATTTCCTCTACTTTCTTTTCCTAAGCTCTCCTCATTACAGAAGGAATACAAGTAGCACCATTAGTGATCTAGTTAGTGTTTCGCCAATGTTTCTCTCGAGCTTCGCTCAATTTCGCTCAATTCGTTCTCTTAACTAGATACCATGAGGTTGTTATTATTGTATTGCTATTGTTATTATAAACGATTATAACCCAAGACTGAGATTGTACTCTTTGACAATATCAAGAATACCAGAGTGGCAAATCCGTACAAAGCCGAGCTAGTTATTGTTCTGTACCGAAGAGTGATTCCTAAACGTGTATCCCACTGACACATTCCTACATTTGGTGGCCGATCCGGTTCGAGCTCAACGTTCGGAGAAGCAAGTCGATCAACACTGTTATTCTAGTATTCTAGTGCACCATAAAGTGCTCAATGAAAAGTTTTGGGAAAGTGTGGTGTTTTGAAGAGGACAAGGAAGGCTTAGTGCGAATCGCTGTCCCATGGCGAACACTCAAATTTGAGCAAATTAGACACTTTTTAAAGAGAGTCGTTAGTCGTTGGATCGACAGGCAGACACATTTATTTTCTTCTCTTCTTCCACGTGTGGCTCGAAAATAGATTGCATTGCGGCGTCATTCTGCACATTATTATAAAGCGAAGTAAAATCAAATAACCTCATCAGATGAATGGTGGTTGGGTGTGCGCACCATACCGTGAACTCCGGATATTTCGGTGTTGGTAGAATTCCAGCAACTAGGTGAGGATAAGGTTTATGAACCACGTTATTCTACCCGTCGGCCCGCTTGTAGTTATTACAGGTCTAACCTTATACGATGACAGGTCAGTGGACGCAATATCATCAGTGAAAGGAAGTTTATGCGTCGTAATAAGCACGTATAGAATTGGATAAGTCGAATGGTTAATTTTTAGCCAGGAAATAACTAAAGTCTCCAGCACAGCTGCCTTTGCCGCGTAGATTCGTCCATATTTAATTTTCGCTAGTGATTCCGATTCTCCTTTTCAGAGAATGGTCTACAGACAAAAGCATACTGAAGACGTCTATCTGCTATTTTAATATCCATTTGACTAGGAATAGCTGCAAAACTCCCACGTTGGCCACTAACAGTAGTCAGAGAGATAATTAATTAATAAGCTTTTTAACCAGGGACATAGCACATTTTTGTACGTGTGTAAGGTGGGAGAATAATCACCTATGTTGGTGGTGATTAAGTAGTCGGAGAACTTGTCCCAGAGATAGACAAAAAAAACAAAAATATTTGAATTCACAAGCTACATTCATGTGATGAAGCCATTTGATTTTGCTTCACTTCATATTACTGTATAGAATGACACCACAAACCGAGCTATTTCCGAGCTTCGCGTAGAAGAGTAGAAGAAAATAAATACGTATGCCTTGTTCATTCAATGACAAGTGACTCTCTTGAAACAGCGTCTTACTAGTTAAATTCTTAGGAAACTGCAAACATATTTCACAAATTAGAGGACTAGCCATAATGCAGTGATTGGCACAAGCTTTGCCTCTTATCCTCTTCAAAACACCACCCTATTCCAGAAACTTTCCGCCGAGTATTTGCACTTGTTCATGGGTTGTCGTTCTTGCGCATTAAGTGTCCCGCCCACATTATCTTCGACAGCTTGATAGATGGAATGGAGTCTTTGATTTCGATCGTTGGTGTCGATCGGACCTTCATTTTTCACGGCAGCGTATGATGTGAATCACAACTGCAACGATACTGATACCATAGCAAAACTTGGACCTAGGGCCAGAGCGAACCACGATTTCCTTCTCCGAGGGCTCACGCATTACACACTGCACCACTGACGCTTTTAGTTTGCGTTTCTCTCAGCTAGTTTTTTACCTAAGTTATTTCTTACTATTTTATTACTCCTTATCATTTTATTCCACCTCTAGTTATTTTTTAACTAAAAAGTGACCGTCCAACTTATCCTGTCCCATACGTATATATTAAGACACGTAAGCTTATCTACTGACGACACTGCGCCCACCGGTCTGTCATCATTTAAGGACAGACCAATCATCAGTTATATAGGCTGGCTAATGGGCAGAATAACATGGTTCATAAACCTTATCCTGACCCACTTGCTGAAACTCATATTAACCCATCTACTTAATACCAACTCCAAAGTATTTCTAGGTCACCTTCGGTGGGAGCAACTAGGCAGCACGCATGTAATAGACTAATTCTATGTTACTTCGCTTTATACTAGTGTGTCACATGACGCCGCAATGCAGGACATTTAAGAACTGCTTCTAGAACATGAAAGCAAACTAAATGTGTATAGCTTGTCCATTCAACGACTGACGATCTTCTTAGGGCAGTGTCTTATTTGTTTAATTTTTAGGTGGTCGCCAAGAAGTATTTTACACAAATTACAGCGTTTGCCATGGGACAGCGATTAGCATCAAGCGTTGCGTATTCTCTCCGAAGCACCAAGCAATTCAAAGAACTTTTTGTCCAGTATTTGACGAATGCACTAGAATCTTAGAACTGCAGCATTGATCGACTTGTTTTGCTGAACGTTGAGTTCCAATCGGATCAGTCAATGAACCAAGCGTATGAGATGTTCAGTGGAATGTTAGAGTCAGTGCTCGGTACAGAATAATTACTAGCTCGAAGTAGAATGATCGACTTTGTACGAATTTTCCACTCTGGTCTTTTTGATGATTACGCCATGCACAATCTCAACCTTCGGTTACAATAATTTATAACAATAACGACAATGCAATATTAACAATCTGACAATATCTGGTTTAGTGATCGAGCTGAGAAAAGTTGAGTGGAGCTCGAGCGAAGTATCAGCGGAGCACTAATTGGATCACTAATGGTGCTCCTTGTATTCCTTCCGTAATGCGGGAATTTTAACAGAAGAAAGTAGAGGAAGCGCACAGAGGTAGATTCTAGAATACCAATAAGTTAGTACCATCTGATAGAGCTGCTTGCACAGAATGTTGGTGAAGGCTATACACTAGCTTACACAGAAAATACACATGACAGCTATGCACAAGCTTATACAAAAAGTCAATTAGGGCGGCAAATGACGGAGCGTGCCTGCAGCTGGCAGATTCTCCTTCGGTGCACGAATTCCCGAACAGAGAAGAACAACTCTTGCAAAGCATTTACAGAACCCCTTCCCTGTCAGCTGCTAGACAGGTGCATGAGATGGTCACTAGGAAACAGTTTGAGAAAAATGCAGGGACAAATGTGGGAAAATTACTAGTAAACAATTAACATAGGAAACATATGATTATATGGAAAATGGAAAGTGTTCGGGGAATAGTCACTATGCTCTCCACCGTGACTTATGATCAAGGCACGAAATATTTTCAAGCATAACAACAATATTTTACTGCGTGGAATAAGAAATAAAATGAGTACTTGTATATTTTACAGAGTAATTGAAGAAGAGATGAACATGAATGATTTAATGACAGAAAGCAAAGCTTCTTGTGTTGAGGCAAAAAATATGCACAGAAAGGAGAGAGAAGGTAGAATGGACATCAATGTGCGGAGAAGGCCTTTGCTGCGAGTTACGCGAAAATGTGCGCCTTCCGCAACGTTGGAGACCCTCCACTCGCGACTGCCTCCGCAGTGACTCTGTCGTAGTATTAAGGAACACAACGTAGAGGAATAGGAATAGAATACAGCGTGTGTGGAAGGATACAGTAGAGCTGATTAGTTGCAGTGGAATACAGTATATGAGAATAGTAAAAGGCTTGTTTATGAATAAAACAGTCTGTCTTAGAGGTCGGATGTTGCAGTGGAGTTTCGGGTTTGCTCTGCGTCTTTCGGTTCTTCAATTGATAGAACCCTTTAGCAACAGCTGCATGCACTGTTTGTTGTAGTTCTGCATAATCTAACTTTAGTGGAATTACTATGTTGACAGTTCTTCTGATGACTCACATATTTCTTAGTCTGACGTGTTCCTTCCTGACCGCTCCAGTTGCGGTTTGTTGCAATTCGCCTACGTTGCCCATTTTCCATCTATTTAGTGGATGGACTGGTTCGTAAATGAACACCAATGCACCAACGGTCGGAGTGCATGATGTTACTTCCTCGGTATAGATATGCCTAAAATATATCGCCTTAAATCGATTGCCTTGAATAAACTAGAGCTCTCACTTTTCCCCGTCCTAACTGATAACGCGTAAACAAGCTCGAAAGAAATGTGGCAAAGAGAGAAAACTGGAAAAGAAATGACATTTCAGGTCTCAGATTGCGTAGATCTTTGAGAAGCAATGTCATCACCATGTATACATAATCCGGTTTCTTCGATCCCTATAAGGTGAGTAAATACTAACTGTATTACTTAAAACTATACCTCATACTCACGTGGTCTACTGACTCGCAGAAGGGTTTTGTCTTCGCCGCGTTTGCTGCTTTCAGCACTTCTACCTCGATATGCAGCATAAGCTTACTGTACTTTTCCGCCACGGTGGTAGCAGTCTAAATGGACATGACATTGAAATTACAACGATCCGTAGAATCCCGTCGGCTTGAAATATGCGAATTTGCAGCTAAATTGATATTTGTACGACATATTGACATTCGCTACAAGCCACTTCGCGAAAAAATACTCAAGTAAATAGGATAAGTTAATCAACAAGTCAACATTGAAATAAGAAGTAGGGCACATCAATGAAATTACATCAGGATATTATGCCTTTATGCCTACTTGGAATTCTTGATGGTCTTTCAAACTGGCTCATATGTTTTCGTTAGGTTCATTTTCTTCATTTTCAAGTGTTCAAAGCAAATACAGGTTTACAGTGAAGAGAATGCCATGATCGGTGGAAAAGTGACGATAGCAGCTGTGAATAGCGGCTCTAACACTTTTAGCTCCATCACCATGCCGAAGAATTCAAATAATTTATGATCGTCTTAAACAAAGCAGAGCTCTCACTTTGCTCGTCCTGGACAAGAAACAAGGTGGCGTACCAACCATCTCCTAGCACTTGTTTCAGTTTGTGCTCGTTCTCATCTCCTTGAATCTTTTCCTTCAGCACTGGCACACAATCATTGTGAACCTTCTTTTGTTTCTTTTCAGAAAGTTCTGTCATATTGCCCACTTTCTCTGGTGCCACGTTTTCCACTCTGCAGAGGTTTTCAGTTTCGGACAGATACTAAGTTGATCTGGTTATAAATGGAACAACATACCTGATTATTTTTAAAACGAGTTGTTGACTAATGGACTAGTAAGCCAACACCGTCAATTCGCTAAGGCAGGAAACGAGTGAATGAACGCTAGAACAATGTGTATTATCACAAAGAATGATATGCACGGTGTCGTGTCAAGGAAAGCAGATAATCTCATCGGCAACCTTAGAACCTTTACCAACACGGTTCAACTGTCCGCATCAACCCTGTCGACGCCATTCACGCACATGTGAACAAGTTATTAACAAAGTTATAGATAATCAAATCGATTTATACACAGCGACCTTGTTACCTCTCTAATTGTTTAGTGTGTCATGGCCATGAAGCATCGAATGGCCGCATGCCGCCGACAATCAGCTTTCCTGCTTTGATATTGGCACTTTC